GGCGTTCCAATATATGTATCCGAGCATATTCCTTTGCACGTTTGCCCATATGGTAATATAAAAAGGACAGTATCGCATGCAGTTCTAAAATGTTTCACACTGCTCCGTAGTCAGGGCCAAGATGTTCTCCGAGGGCCTTCTTGTCGTTAGGAGAAGGTCTGCAGCCAGCGCCATCACACCAGGCCCTAGTGACGTGTGGACCATGCACGTAACCTGAGTAACTATAAGAATATGCACAAAAGTCAGAAGCTATACGCACTTGCGGCGGAAAAGATAATTTGAGGATGTAAACAAGACAAACCCATGAACGGCTATGAATGTCTCAGGCTGACGCAAATTGTGGCCATAAAACTTGAAGCCGAGGTGCTGTCATCCATGATATATCAGCTCATTCTCACTCAATTCAGGTTGGGTCGCAAGACAGTTTCAAGCAGGGCATGTGTTTTGCAGCGCTGATGTGCACCCATGCGCATGTGAAGACCGTGTAATAGAAACGACTGGTGATGCTAGATGTGACCCTGTGTCTGATATAATGATACAGTAAAAGCTCGTTAATTCGGATTTTACGGGACCGGAAAAACTGTCCGAATTAACCGAATGCCGAATTAACGAATGAATAGGGAAAACAACATTTAAAATCAAGCTGCAGAAGCATACCTTTATTTGTTGAAGTATTTTGTAATTGTCGTCTGCGTTTTCGCACAGATTCCGGCTGACATCACAATTTCTCTTAACTGTTCCAAATGGCCAACAGCACGCAAGCTGTCGGGAGTGTTCAGGCAAGCGTCCTCTAATATTAACAGCGCCTCCGAGACTTCCCGTGAGGTGCGGTGAGGTCGCGGCTGTATCTCCTCACATGATTTTTCGTCGGAATCGTGGTCTTCATGGGCGCCCGTGACATCATTAATAATCTCTTGATCGGTCAGGAGACCACACGTGGCGACACCATGATCAATCGCGATATAGTCCTGAAAGGTCACATCTGTGGGAAGGACAGCATCGAAAGTCGGGCAGTCATCGTCGGTGGACCCGGCTGACACCTCCTCAATGCCATTGTCAGCTACTGCTGCATGCTCGGGTCTCACAAAACCGCTGTGCTGAAAACAGTTGGCGATGACTTGAGGTGGAGTGTTTTTCCACACGTGGGCGATGATGTGCACTGCGCCGAGTAAGTCCACTTGATACAACTTTCCAGCTTCTGAGCATAGGATCATTCGCTCTAGCAGGTGCTTGCGGTACTTCGACTTCACGTAGTGCTTGTTCTGTCAGTGACTTTATCGACTGATTTCAGGTTGATTGCACCATAAAGGCCTAAGAAGCCCATACCATGAATGACATCTCTCCAGCAACACTGTTCGACTACAAAGCTTGTGGGGTAAATCCGGTTGTTAATGGAGACTCTCGTCCTGCAGATTCTTGGCGGTGTTACTAGGTGACCTACAGCTTTCCGGATCTTGGGGCCTTTCCAGGTGGTCTTCACTTTTTTCAACTTCGTGCCAAACAGTCCACTGATGACAGAATAGCTGGCTCCGGCGTCTATGAGAGCTGTCACACTATGGTGGTCAATAAGAACGTTGAGTTCACTAGTTCGTCGTTTCGCGTTGCAGTTAGGTCGAGGCGTTGGGTCACGGCTGCGTCGGCTTGTGCCATTGCTTCCATGTTGCATCGTCAAGCCATATTTGGTAAGTAAGGTTTGATCATCAATGCTTTGCCTGGTTCGCGTCCTCATTGTCGGAGGATCTTTGGGAGTTTGTTGTACAGCAACCGCACCTCCATCGATTGTTGCCCTTTGTTTTCCAAATATAGGCTCACGGAATGGCCCATGCTGGAGCTGCTGTACTGCTGTCGTCAATGAGGTGACTCGTAGGGTCCCGGCAATGGTGAATGGGATGAACGTCGAGGTGCCCGTTAGTGGTGGTCAAGTAGTCGGTGATGTTGCATGGTCGCTCGCTGTGCTGTAGGAGCGATGCGTTGACGGCAAAGCCACGTAGGCCCATCTGGCGGTACTGGCAGCGGCAGATGTGTTGTATCTGGCCTCCTTACAATGGTAGTAGAGCGGACAGTTGTCTGGGACTCGCCAAACATCAGTTTTCCTTTGAACGTAGTGCTGGAAAACAGGAGAACGGTAAGGCTTGCCTCTTGCTTTTCGTTGGCATCTGAAACATGAAGGCGTCCGGAACCAAAGAGGCTAAACAGGCCACATACCATGCCTACGTTAGACCGAAACTGGTGTATGACTGTCCTGTGTGAGATCCGTTTCACAAAGTACATATTTATGCACTTGAACGTATTCAGGAGATCGCAGCAGGATTCCTTCTGGGCAAATACGACCGAACTGCAGGCTCCTGATGTATGAAGAGAGAATATAACTGGCAATCCGTGCAAGACAGAAGACGTAATCTAAGACTGAAATTGTTTTATTTAATCTATAATCAGAAACTGGAGTAATCCTTTTAAGTAATCCTTTAGATTAGTTAAAACCAGCACATCATCAATCGCCTCATCACAACCACAAGTATAAAGTACAGTCGTACAACCCCAGAACTGATCTGTTTAAACATTCTTGTTTTCCACAGACCATTACCGAATGGAACATGTTACCAGCCAACTTGGTTGGCCACACGACTGCAGACTCATTCTATGAAGGACTTTGCCCCCCCCCCCTCCCCTCCCCCCTGCAACATTGCCTAAGATGGCCATGCGGCCCCGCCGTGGTGGTCTAGTGGCTAAGGTACTCAGCTGCTGACCCGCAGGTCGCGAGATCGAATCCCAGCTGCGGCGGCTGCATTTCCGAAAGAGGCGGAAATATTGTAGGCCCGTGTGCTCAGATTTGGGCGCATGTTAAAGAACCCCAGATGGTCTAAATCTCCAAAGCCTTCCACTACGGCATCTCTCATAATGATATGGTGGTTTTGGGTCGTTAAACCCCACATATCAAATCATCAATCATCAAGATGGCCATGCGGGTAATGTTCCAAATAAAAAAAAGAGAACTTAGTTTATTGCTGCAGATAATATCTTTGGGCCTGCTCAAACAATATTTTCGCCAGTGTGCCCATGTCACCAAAATACCTCGAAATCTATATTGTGGTTGAAATCTACATATGTAGCCTGCTATCGTTGGCATTCAGGGGTAAATTCAGATTTCTTTGGGCTTGAGTTTAGCTCGTAAAAAAAAGTCTAAATCACAATGAAAGAACGATATAGATACAATACACATCTTTGTTCCTAATAATAATAATGATAATAATTTAGGTTTTTATGTCCCAGAACCATGATAAGATTATGAGCCACACTGTAGTGGAGGGCTTAGGAAATTTCCAACCATCTGGTGTGCTTTCACGTGCACTGTCATCGCATTGTGAGCAGACTTTAACCGCTACGTCCGGGATCGTCTTCTCGGTCATCGGCCACAGCTAAAGTGATGCAGTCTGTTTATGACAAAGCACTGATCAGAAACACCTGAAACTACCAGTGCAGATTGCCCACCGTGGCTGAAGAGAGCTTTGGGAGAAACACCTGCGTCGCCGATGGCTAGCACCATAGCTGATGCAACAGGTTGAAAAAGAACTAGCGCTCTCACAGGCAAAGAGGAGCATTAGACGGGCCGCACCAAAAGAGGAGATTGAGTGACCATGATATCAGCTATATGATTAAATGGGCAATTCGTTATGGATATCAATGTAAGTACAAAATGCTCAAATGCAGTTGTGGAATGCTTTGTGATCGGTGGGGCACATCATTCACTGCCATGTGCAGAACTGAACGCCCTTGTGTTGCTGAAGGTACCTTCTTTGATTATGCAGCATGACATTTTCAAAGAAAGGGAATGTGGCCCCATGCTATTAATGTATCCGTGAAGCAGACATGAAAGTAAAAGGCACTGGCAAACGTGAAAAAGGGCTGCAAATGTTCTACTGGGCTTAAATCCTAATGTAGTAGACTCTCGATAATTCATACTTTGATAATTCATACTTTTGGTTTATTCAAACAAAATTCAATTTTTTGGTTGGCCCTCTATTCTTTCAATGTATTTAAAAGCCCCTTAATTCAAACTCCATCATTTGGTTAATTCATACTTTCTGCAGTTTCATACCAGAAAATATCAGCTGTTTTCCCACTACTATGTAAAAATTTGCATGCCTATACAATACTAACAGTCTAAAAATGAAAAGTAAGCACTTCAGGCATTCAAGAAAGAAGGATTTGCTAGTAATCAAATGTTTGAAACAAAGCACACTCATGGTAAACAGTGATGTTTCTCAACTGGTATAAAGATCTCTGTCCTAAAGGCACATACCTATAACAAAAAAGGAGTCAGCAATTCACAATTTCTTCAAAGGGTATGATCAGCAGTAAATGGCCAACAAACTTGTGCATCTTACGCTTCTGCTTTCTGTTCATTGCATGCAGTTAGGGTTTACGAACACTTGAAAAAATTTTAAATGTGATAAAATCAATGCCAAATCATAATATGAGGTGTCACCTCCCCCAGAGTCATCTATCTGAAAACTTTAATACTTAAAATGTCTTGATAATTGAAACAAAATTCAGAGATCCCTGTGAGTTTCAATTAACGAGAGACGACTGTAGTCACTAATGAACTGGGCAGCTCAGTCATGTACATATTCTAACTTTCATGAAAAAGCTTTGTAAAAGAGCGATTGTCAACTGAGGATGGTGATGTGGAAAAACATTTATTGCTACAAATTGTCCACTCATTTTTCTATTCTCTTTGTTGTCTGAGTCGTCTTTCCTTTTAGTGAGCACACTGGGGGACAAGAAAGCTCTTAATTGTGGCATCGCAGTTGCCATGCCAAAAGCATGTGACTGTAGAGCAGGTATGTTTGGCTCCTCGACTGTTGTCTCTATTCGCCTAGGGGTGTGGTGTCACAGCAGCCCCTTCATTATTTGACTTGCTCAAGTTATGACTTTCACAAGTTAAGTAAGTTGTGGTGTGTGGCAAATTTGCAAGAGGCCTAGCATGACCGGTTTTGCAGGCCGATGCGGCAAGCAGTAAGTGGCCAGTCTATCTCTACGCTCAGTTCCGAGGGAAATCTATCGGAGGAAGAAGGCAACACAAGTGAATGCTCGAGCTGCCAGCCAGCTGAACTTCTGTCAAGCCTCTCCAACCCAGACGACTGTGGGCCACTCCAGACACAAGGGATTCTTCTTAAAAAGGGTATGCAGGCCTCATGTTAAACTCATATGGTCTGGCAAGGACACCCTAAACAAAGAACACTGTGCTCTATTACAGCAAAAGCTGTTTTAAGATCAATCACAACACAGGTCATGTGCAACGCCATAGTTGTCCGCCACTGCCAGTGTCCGTAACCACTATTGCACGAAATTGAAAAAAACTCAGTAAATAAAAAACGCCAAAGGCACAATAGGATTCAAACCCGGGTCCCCTGCGTGCCAGCCCACTATTCTACCACTGAGCCACGCCAGTGCTTGGAACTTGCTTGAAACTTCCCTTAGGCAGGCATGATGTAGGGAAAGGAATCGCGTTAATATGAGTAATGAAGCGTTTTAGAATAGCAAAGGAACAACCAGGCGTCACCCAATGCAAATTGTGTAATGAATGGGTCGTCCAGTGCTCCAACACACTACAAAAAGCTTGTTCTTGTTCACCTATTAACTGTGGCACATACGCACTTCAGGCCTGATTCTTCATTGCCGTCAGCCACTGCATGAAAAATTGGTACAAAATTCCTTAAAATGTGTAGCAGATACCAAGCTTCTCTGAAGAATGATGAAGGTTAGCATAGTGAATGCTGGCCTACTGCACAAAAATATTGATGGCGTAGTTAGTACCCAGCAAGTGTGCTTGTAGCAGTTACCCAAAGAGTGTTCAGAAAAGGCTCTGAAAGGCCACTCTTCCAGCTTTTGCTGTGACTGTGCTGCGCGTTCCGTGCAGGCCTGGCATTTTTTTAAAATTTTTTATACAGTTAAACACTGATCACTACATGCAAAGTTTTAAGTGTGTATAACAGATGCAACTTTATTCAAGCAAATGTAACAGCTCTGTTTTGTGGAGACTCTTTCGTAGACATCTTCTATATTCTCAAACTCCTATTTCTAGCATTAACGTGGTGAAACACCTTTACACAATTAAAGTGATGCAGGACACAACCCCAAACTTTTCAAGAAAGTGTTGTACTCCATTTTAGAGTGAGATGCTGTGCTCACTATATGCAAACTTTGAATTTTATATTACAGATACACCTTTATTCAAGCAAATTTAGGAGCTGTGCTCTATGGAGACTCTTTAATAGACATCTTCGGTACTCTTATCTCTAGCATTAACATAATCAGACACCCTTACACAAATAAAGTAATGCAGGACACGTTAGCCTATGGCAATTTTTTTTTATGGCAGCTGCAATGTGGTCCCCAGACTGCTTTGTGTGCACAAATCTCCTGAAAAAAAAAATGATCAAGTTATCCAGGAGGGCTTCCGTTCTGAGGGACTTGTTTTTTTGTTAGATGCAAAATAATTATTCTCACAAACAATTAGGTAAGGGAAAGCACGGGTAACATTATTTGTTATCATGAGTGGTGGTGTTGTAATAATGTTTTCTATTTAATTGTATTGAAGTGCTGAAAAAATCACCTTTCCTGTCAGTGGGATACCCTCACAACTTTCGAATTTCATGTTTCATGTACTATCGATTGATCCATGATCCACCACGGTATTTATGAACACGTAATCCCGAGAAGTGTTAGCCAGCACCACTCGTAGCCCAGGTGGCAAGTGTCGCTTTCTTGCCAGGCTGCTTTACGTAGCATGTAATCTTTGCAAATAAACTCTCACAAGCTAACCTAAGGCATTAAGTTTGCTGGGTTGAGGTCCTTGCAATGAATGAATGAAAAAAGTGCAACTTTTTTTCTTCTGGGGTGCTAATTTCTTCATTAAACACAGCCAAATAAATTTATGGAAAATACAGGGGTCTTTATTAATAGTGGTAATTATGATGCAAATTCATTTAAATGAAAGTGGACGAAAAATCAATCTTTTCGTTAGTGCAATTAAAACCCACAACCTTCAAATTGTCTGATGCTTTATCAGTTGAGCTGTGTACTCAGTGGATGGTTTCACTTGCCTAAAAATGTCACCCGTTGGAAAATTTTTGCCGCATGCCAGCAGGACATACCTATGCTGGTGGTGCCAGTGCAGTAATCCATCATGTTTTAGCAATGCGCTCACTTTTTCATTGGTAGGTAAGTGTAGCTCATTTTCAGAGTCTATTTCTGTTCTTCTCTCTTGGCGCTATTCCCGAGGAAGTTGTCACTTATAAAGGAGTCTGCCGAAGCTAGTGGGATGGCGGGTTGGTAACATGAAGCAAGAATGGCACCGACGCATTGTGTGCTGCTGCGCATGCATTGAATTGAATCCCATATGGCTGTAAGGCTTCCTTCACTATTTGTGTCAGTACAGCCTGCATAACACAGAATATCTTGTTACGCAAGACAGTGAGGCTTGGCCCACTACCATAGCCTGTTAGTACTATCTTCATGTGCAATCAAAAGCATGGAAAGAAATGACAGGACAGGATTTCATGGTTGTGCCATGGGAGTGACAGCAATATGTAAATCCATTTACACACCAATGCCACATAAGATAGGATGAATATTTATGTTTATTCTGAAAAGCTTGTGAAGAAATGGTGTTTGTTTTCCTGTATGGAAATACTGTTCACGAGATAAATTTAACTAAGGTGAAACTGTTATGTAGATGAAAATTACTTGTTTTTCTTAACAATCTATCCCATGAAACTAGTCTAGTGCATTTCCTTCTGGGCAACAATAATGCTGTCTTTCAAATTGCGTGTTTGTGCAGAGCCAATGGCTGTTCAGCCAATGTGGTGTCATGAATTCATATGGCTAGCAGCATGCAACTGACTGTTGTTTCATGCCACCTAGTATGTAGTTGGTCGAGGTTGGTAAGCCATCTATGCGATTAACTGCTATCTTTCCCAAGCTGGGAATGCTTATATTTATCTGGGCTTCTTGTGCTGTCTGAAATATTGTTCTGGTTAGCATGAAACAGAGAGTGCAGCCCAAGTAATCTGCGTGGTTTTTTTGTGCTTATCTTTGCAGAACCCATTGCCAACCATCAGTGACATGCACAGCCAAACGTCGCGTGTGAACAGCGAGATGGGTCACACAGAGACCACTGTCTGGTAGACATCCTGCGTGCTCTAGTTGACTTCTTTTTTTGCTTTGTTTTTTAATGCTCATGAGACATTCCAAGTGAACAAAGAGTCCTGTTAGCAGCCATGGCTACTACCAATGGACACGATTTTACTTATTTATTAAGTTTGTTGCTGCTCTGTGAGTGGCACTCTCCTTCACCAGGATTTCAAGACAGATTGGCTAATGGCTTGGTTGTCCCCCCAAAAACATTTGCTCTTGCCTACACAAGTAAAGAGCACCGTGCTATGCAGGCAACAGCCTAGAGCCAATGCGCTCCATTTTGTTTTGTAAAAACAAACAGGTTATGCTTTGTGATAAAATCACCAGGAGAATTTCATTTGTGTCTTTTGGGAGCTTATGTGTGCATATAGATATACAGTGAAATCTCATTACCACAAACTTCACATTCCTTAATCTTTCATATAAATGAATTAAAATATCTCCATCCAGTCGCCTCTTGTTTTGATGTGAAACAATATTAGTACTACTGTGCAAATGAAAACACCAACACCATGCACTGTATTTACCCGAGTCCAACCCCAAATCTAATGCTCACCCAATATTAGAGGGCCTAAAGTAAGAAATGAAAAATATAGAATAATATAATGAGCTTCTGATTTGTGAAAGAATGTGACATGCTCCCACATTCTTTTTGAAATATTCATACAAAAGTTTCAGTTGATGAGCTTTAGCAATCACAGCCAAAATTTTTATCAAGAAAGTTCCATCCATACTATATGTTTGTACCTGCATTGTATGTGTGCATGTGTGTATATATATATATATAATACACATACACACACACACACGGTGTAGCCTGCACCATGGCAGTCACGAATCTATAAGCGGTGCCGCACTACAGCCAAAGCAACCTTTTTTCAAGGGCTGCAGTTGCACAAACATGTGTTGTGCATGCAGCCTCGCGTGACCGGAAATCGAAGCATGCGATGTGTGGTGCTTACAACTATTCTATTTTCTGAATATTAAAAAATAGCGACCAAAGAACTGCCTTGCAAACGAAATGTATGCTATGGGGAGGATCTAATAAAAGAAAGCAACATCACAGAAATTCACCGACTATTTTTCAGACCAATTTAATTATGTGCATATTACACAGAAACTGTGTTATATTACATCTGAAATTTCAGGCACTACAAGATGCCAATCATTCGATTTCACGGGCACACACTCGATTTCAGTGCATCTCAATTGAATCACGAACCACCATTTGAGTTCGACACGTGCCCTCCTTGTTTTCATTAACGATATGGATCCCTTTCCCTTTTAGTGCAGCCACCTCAAAAAGATTTGTTGATTCCGTATCAAATTGCAACTAATGTAGAATTCCACTGGTAGATCCAGAGCGGCCGCCAAAATCCTGGAGCGAGCACTCGGATTGCGCCAAATCAGATCTGCGAGTGGAACATGGGAGTGCCCCGCGTGAGTGCACTTTGGAAGTTGTTTACGCATACATCGCTAAACCATTACCGCAAGTGATTTTCTTTTCCGCTCTCTACATTTCAATGACAACTGTGTCGCCACTACAAAGCACACATTTCCACCATGTAGTTGCGGAAAGCAGGGGTAACGCTTTGCAATTTTAGGAATATGAACGAGTGGACAGGGTTACTAGACTGCCTCAAAAAACACTGAAGACAACCTAACTGCTCGACTGTACTGGAAATGACGGCAACGCATTCTTGGAGTTTTGGCGAAATCCGTTTCTGCAAGATGGAGCATACAGAACGCTCTGTCGCGGAGTGAGTTGGTCTAAATCCACCAGTGGAAAGTGCGAACTTGCTTCAAATGTACCAGCGGAATGCGGATTGTTAGTCGTGGAAAACAAAATCTTGCCCCTTGTTATTGGTTCATATGGTTCAGGATGATTCGTATCATCGAGATTCTACTGTATAAAATCAGCATGAGGGAAATTTTGGTGGGCTGGCAGTATGTAACCGCTTAACACGATAGGGATGGATATTTTGTCATTTCTGTGCAGCGAATTCGATTATAGCAAAACCGCAGTCACTTGTGTGGACTTGGGACACTTGTGGGCAAGACGAAATGGCACTCGCACCAAACCGATCCCAATGTCTGAGCTTTGGGAGTAACACAAAAAGCTTTACTAAATAAGTGTCTCTCCTTTGCAACCATGTATGTATGCTACAGAATGGGGTTCAGAGAGCATGAATGCTAAATAATGATGGCTCAGCTGCTCAGGTTTTTGTAGGCAATAAGGTTTTTCCCTCTCTCTGAAGTGTATTGTTATGACTGAACGAAAACATGATTACATATGTTAGTATTTTTGAGCTATCACGAAAACAATGTGCAAGTCAATAATGTGCATTTATGCCAGTGTCTGTGTATGCAAACAGCCCACACAATGTTCAAAAGTGTTCTACTGTAGAACGTAAAAACTACTAGAACAAGTAAAGCCGCCAATTATATTTAACAGAGATGCGCTTCGATGACAGGCGAATGCATGAGTTGGAGGCACCAGAAAAGCAACATTTACTGACTAACAAATATATGAATCAGTTCACTTACCTAACAGAGGCAGAGTGCGTGCTCAGAAGAAATCATCTTGCTGGGCATCTGATCGACCCATTCGGTACCAATTATAGCTGTTTGAGCCTGCGACGCCGCTTTTAGCACTGTAATGCATAACTCCTTTGACGTTATGACTAATCTAGCGTCGCCTTTGCAATTCCACCATACGTTCTTGTGCGCATTAAACTTTCAAACACTTTTAAGCCTATTCTTCAAACATAGAGCATGACCGTGCCGCCCCACACACTCTACCGACCACAGCTACAACTGTGGTTGGCAGTAGTCAGCTCGCACTCATACCGTGGCCATGCCACAAGAACAAGATTTTGTTTTCTCGTTTTTTATTGCAATATTCGTGTCTCAAATATACTCAGCTGTAGACATATCAAAAGATTATAAAAAAGCATTGCAATATGAAGTGTCAGTGGCAAATATAAAATTTAAGACATACAACGCCTTCACGCAACATCTTAGTTTTTTGTTATTTATTTCTTCAAGCCTGTATCGCACTGCATCTTTTGAATGTTAGATTTTTCTCATTTCAATTTGTGCTAGCGGTGCTCAATAAGGCACTCCTGTGGTACACAAACCTGCGGCAGAGAATGCGGACACGATGTTCACCATGCAAGCATTCAAGCGAGCTCGCTTATGTATTTACCAAGTACAGAGGCAAGGGAAAGAAACGCGAACAGTGCTGTTTGCCTTTGTTTTTCGTGCTCTTAGCTTGGTCACGCTAGTCTCGTTTTTATGTATCACTTTATCATGGCTTCTCTTTTTTTAGCACCAAGGCTACAAGTGCTTGAAAAGTAACACAGTAATTGGTAATTGAGTGGGGAGCTGTACTGATCGCTTTTTTTTATTATTTGAAAAACCGTCCTCGGCCACCTGCTGAAAAGGACGATGTATGCATTATGGGTATACATTCAAGCAGGCCATGACAATTTCTACTATAGACTTCAACTTCGTCAAATTTTCAATGAAGGTGAAAATGCTTGAGGTTTATGTGCTTAAATTTCCATGCACATTAATAACCCGAGGTGGTCGAAATTTCCTGAGCCCTTCACTGCGATGTCTCTCATAATTATGTCGTGGTTTTGGGATGTTAAACCCCATCAAGTATTATCATTTCGTTAATAGCTCATTCCCCCCCCCCCCCCCCCTGTTTACACTTTGAAGGAAAGCAGTACAGTATAACCTCGTTACAATGGATCTGCTTACAACAGACATTCGAATACTACATTCTAACTGGGGACGTTATGCAGACCTTCCTATTTGTACCATTGATTGAGCTTCGTTTAGTACGAATTTTTCAGGTACAGTGCACATTCGGATGTAATTGTTTAAAATGTAAAATGCGAGGCCAGCAAGGTGGTCAGGGCTATTTTGCAGCGGACTTTTCTACAGCGGACATCCTAAATTCTATAACTTCCGACTTCAAACAATGCTTTGAATACTTTCGGGACGGAATGTCACGGTGGATATCGACGTACTGATTTAAGAATGAAAGCCACCGATCTCTGGTCTATTAATGATTAACTACGCTTTGCTACGGTGCATGAAATTGATGCGCAGCGTGCTTGGTTTTTTGTGTTGGGGCGCCGACACGCGAAATCGCTGGCCGCTGCCACTGCTGTTCTGAGAAGTCAGTGCATGGCAAGCTTGGCTGGGGTCTTCTATCGATGCACAAAATGCTTATTCATGGTTTAAAGTAGCCAGCGACTGATATGATTCGTTGCTTTCGACGAAGCACATTGCGGGTTTTTTGCTTTTGCATATCCACTAGTGCTACGGTCTTACCCACAAAGTTCAGGGTAGGTTTAGGCCTAGCCACGACTTCGAGCAGAAAGCACGGCTGCAATGCACATGGCCGCGGTTCCCCAATGTTTCCAAGTATGACCAACACGTCCTCTAGAAAGATGCCTGCCACGTCACATGCTTTGGGACGGGAGGTTCCTTGTGGTTCAGTGCTTTCTTCGCGAGGAGAGCTCACAGCTGACACTACTGGTTTCGTTGGATTTCGAAGTGAAGCCATCACAAAGATACAACCATGTTGCTTCCGAGATGGCAGTAGACATTGCTTTAATCTCAGAGGCTGCAAGGTTTAAACCAGTCACCACAGCGACTACTCGCAGCCGACACTGTTTGGTTGAGCAGTTTATAAGAGAACAGGAGAGGGCTGGGAACCAGCTCTTCCACTCACGTCGCAGGCTACGACATGCTCGGTTGCGAGTTTAAAGATTTCTCCCACGGTGGTCTTCATCGCAAGGTTCGAAGTGCTGACAAGCAGAACCTTCTAGCCAACTAGTCAAGGTGACAGTCGGTTCGATACCCAAGTGTGTGATGTTCGCGAGGAGTGCAGGGCCCGATCTTATTCGACTGAATTTTTGTTTGCAGCTCCCTTAACTAAGGCGTGATTGTATTCTGAATTATTGTGTACCTGTGAACACAGAATGAGTGCCGCGACCTCGCAACGCACATTAAGCGGACGACGCTATCTCGGAGGCATATCCCGGATTGAGCATTGGACCAGCGAAGCATATTTGAGCAACATGGCTGAAGCCGCTAATCGGAGGTCTCGAAATGAATTTCGAACATCTGCTTTTTGGATGCACAATGCCTTCACTAAATATTTTTAAGAGCCCAAAATGGTGGTGGGCATTTGTTTGTAAAGCTATAAATCTTTAGAAATGCTGTTTCTTTTTGCGACATTTACAATTATTTTCACCAACTCGGCAGTCACAAAAAACGTTTTTCAGTACTTCTGTGTAGTTTTTAGTGAAGATGTTTTTGAATCAGATAGAAAAATGGCTACAGGAACTGAAAACTGAAAAAAAATCAATTATATGACCCATTGAGAATAATTCGGCATGTGACTCGTAATTATGTCTGGTTATAACAGACCCAGTCAGTGCTTCCGTATGTCTGTTGTAACAGTACTTGGATTTTACATGCTCCTTTTACAACAGATGAAAATCATCTTCACTGTGAAGAGGTCTGTGTAATGATGTTATACTGTACGCTACTGCCTTTACACGAACACCGAGCGCCCCTGCCGAAACATTACCTGCAGTGATGTTCTTTTTATTAAACTCTATGATAACTCTCCTTTTTTGTGAACCTTTCTTCTGCAGGCTCATATATCCCACAAATATTAGAATCATAATCTTGAGTACAGAATGGAATTACTCAATTTTACAGATTAAAATTGTTTTGACGACATTTATGAAAAATATGGGTGCAATATTTCGGAACACCCATATAGCAGCTGTTGCTTTGCTTATGTATTGAACAAATCAAGAACTCTCTTTTGATTGAATTTGCTACTTAGTAAAATACATATGGATAGCATTTTTGTACTGTAACCCCACAATTATTTGATTCTGGTGGGAATTCACACCTGCTAGTTTTGTAAATGACAAATAGCTGATCTTTATTGGCTCTCTAGGGGAAAATATGTCTCGCGCATTACAACCTATTGGTACCAATATGCACCAATAGCTGTCACTTATGAGTACTAAT